CATGTAAAAAACTCACCTTTTGTCGATGTTTAGAGGAAGATCATGGTCAGCATTGGGATTCCAAGTTTTTGTAAAAGAAACTTCGACTTTATTATTATCTTTTGCTATAACTCGGAAATTTGTTGCAAAAAACCTGAGAATTGTTTGCATATATAATTATATAACGTAACAGATGTATATAATATTATGAAGCTAAACTATATGATGTTAATTGTCATTAAAAAAAAAAAAAAAACAATTAACTTACGTATCAAAAGTGCTAGCCTTGTCTTCTGGAAGTTTCCACATGGTATCCCAGTATCTGCATTTTAAAAAAATAATAATAATCCAAACATGATAACTAGTTGAAGGTGGTAACACTGTTACCATATCTCGCGATAAAGGAAACACGCTACAGAGGCAGATCCAAGATTTGAACTTAGCAATTCATATTTTAAAGTTTAGTAATGAACTTATTGTATTATTAATAAATTGAAGAATTAACCTAGCTAAATAGCCGCATATCTCACTGCTTAAACTAAAAAGATATCTCTACACAAATAGCCGGTGATATTTATTGTTTATTTTTTCTAGCCTTATAATTATACATTGATTATGCATAATTGTTAATATATAATACATAAATTATATATATAATATGTGTGTAACCGTATAAAATTAACATATAATTTATTTATACCGACTAAGAAAAGTAAATAGTAAATTCGGATTCAAAATAATACCGGCGGGCTATTTGTGAAAAGATCCAATATGGGGTCAGAATAAAATTAGTTAAATGTGTGGTATTCTTTCATGTAATGATGAAAAGGTAAGTATGAAAGGAAAAATAAAATATAATTAACTTACCCTCTCCTTGATTCTGGAAATCTTTTCTCCATGAGATTATCAATGCCTTTGTAACTTACCCCAGCAATGTGTCCCGTTGGATTTGATAGGGTAAGTTGAACGATGCCATTATCTATTATCACCTGATAAATACACGAATATAAGTCTTTCAATCACATAGGAGCATTAATAACCGTTCATCCAACTGCTTAAATTAAAAATAATCGGTAAATATGTATATATATATATATATATACACGACCGACTTCGGCCGGTCAAAAAATCGGCCGAAAAATCGAAGTCGGTCGGTTTAAAATATTTTATTTTTCAATTCTTTTACGAATCTGACCAACTTTGGTCGGGTTTTTTCGCGTAAAAATCCGGAAAATTATTTTTGCATCCCGCGAAATTTATTTTTTAAGAAACCGACCAACTTTGGGTGATTTTTTATTTAAAATTAATATTCAAAAACTGACCGAAATCGATCGGTTATTTTGTCCAATCATTTTAAAAAACTGGCTGATTTCGGTCGGTAATTTTATTTTTTAATAAAACCGACCGATATCAGTCGATTATTTTCACGCAAAAATGCAATTAAAGAATATAAATGAATAAATGTCAGCCTTAAAACAAAATACACCAATGGCCTAGTTCGATCCAGATGATACAATTTTTAATTACATAACTAAAAATACCGACCGACTTCGGTCGGTTTTTCAGCAATTTTTCTTTTTTAGAATTTAATTGACCGACCGAAATCGGTCAGAAAATACCGATCGAAGTCGTCGGTTGACTTTGTCGATCATACGATTACCGACCGCCACGAATCGAACGATTTTCGATCGATTTTTGTCAATTATCGGCTAACATTGGTCGGTTTTGGCAGTCAATTTTTTTGTTTCTTTAATGATATAATCATGTATAATTTCTGTATATCAACTAGGGAAAATAAAAAGTAAATCTAGTCAGCTAGTTGTGTAAAGATCCCGACTAATTAGTCATTAAGCAAAGTCAAAAAGTCATTATGGGACTTTACATGGTGATGTAAGATGTGCAATTTGACTGGAGGATCGTTCTCTGGAGTATGCCTGTAATTAGGAGATAGAAAGAAAATAAAAGAAAACAAAACAAAAGGTCAGATATATGAGTCATACATTGAACTCAACATAGTAACAGCGTAAGTTTAATTGATGATAATGTTATAATTAACATCCATTCAACAACGTTTGAGAAAGAAATTGGAGAAAGTACAATAACCAGTATTTTGTTTTTAGTTTTTTCATTATATATACTACTTATTCTTCTTTTTTTATGCAGATAATAGAAGGGAAAAATTAAAAGAAATTCTCGATATAGCTAAGTGTTTGAGCTTAAAATTTCACACTGGAAAAAGATAGAGAAAAAAAAAGGGTTATTAGTTTCTGAGTTTCTTACTACGTATATATTACCTAGCATGCAGCATCCTCGAACTAGTGAAAATCGAGAAAAGCTGGATAATAATTGTAAACCATAATAATGTTTGTCGTTGTAGCCTCTTTCCAACCATCTCTCCTATCATAAAACACTGGAAAAGAACAACCATCAACGTTAAAAATATAATTAAGTGAATAAAAGCGTATTCGGTCTTTAACATGCACACAATTACAATTCAATATGTATCAGAATATGCAGAGATCTTGACAGTTTAGTTTACACATGCATCAAGTATTAACACTACCAGCTTAAGCTTTTAATCTTAGATGAAGTGGTTAAACAATTTGACGAATGAACATAGATGAATATTATCACAAACCATGCAAGAAGTATCAACGACAGTTGGCAGAGTCAGGAATTTGGCGTCAAAATATATATAAAAAACATATGAAGAAAATAAGTGGAGTCAACATACGTATAGTAATATACACAAAAATAAATTTTTAATCTAGCTAAACAACGTAATTTTCCAGTAAAATTGACACCCCTTAGCATAAGGTGGCTCCGCCACTTATCAACGACATAAAAGAAAGAAGAAAAAAAGGAAGAGAGCTTCATATGTACCTCAGAGAAAGCCAAAATTGTTTTGAATTTTGAAGTTCTTGAGGATATTTGGGTATATATATACAAGTTGAATGGAACTTTTGAAATATTTTAGGTTTAAAAGTACATGCGTACGTACCCATATTTTTATTTTATTGTTGTCAAATATATAAGTGGTATTTCATTAAGATTAGAACCTTGACTTCCACTTGTATTAGGTATCTACCGTAGACGGTGGAAGTACGTCTTAGGACAAGAACGCAGACAAATTAGGATTTCTTCCAATATATAGCAGTTGCTACAAAGTTAGTATGAATTTTCTGATGGTATTTGGATTTAGTTTTTGTTTACTTTTTAGAGATTTAGATTTTGGAAATATCTTTGGAGAAAAAACTTAGTCGGACATGTTACGTGTTTATGTTACATTTTCATGAAAATTTTAGTATTGAATAGTACAATGTATTATCGGATATACCTTAATTTATGGAGTAGTAATATTGTCTGTTAAAAGTAAAGAAAAATTATTGAATTACATTTGTACTAGGTTTTGTGAAAACCTATGCTATTCTTTTTCGATTCGCAATTTAACTTGTACATATTGTTAGCGCGATTTTTTTTATAGGATCAGATCACTTAAGATTTAATTACAAGTTTATTATCTTTGAAATATCATCTCAAAAAAAATTAGGTGTACATCCTAAAACCAAATTAGATGGTGTCGGCAATAGGCACTCAGAATGGAACAACTATTTTAAGAGCATGTTGCAAAAAAAATACAATATATATATATATNTTCCTTTCAAAGTCCTTTTTGGTGGTTGAGCCAAACTTTGGGAAAATACCAATTATTTTAGGCTAAGCTAAATGGAATTGAGACACCATCCCTATACAAACAGATGTTAGGCAAGGAAAATAAGAAAGGACTAAATACAATAGAAGTACAATTTTAATACTTTAAGTAAATTATAATAGCCAGGGAAGTCAAACAAAAAGTCTATATTTATTAAAATAGGAATAATGTCTTCCTTGGTTTGCCAACCCCAACATTGCTTTGATATATTTCAACAACATCTAACTAAGTCGCAAATTATGGCACAAAAATAGAATGTTAGGTGAAAAAACATTGTTAACCTTTCAAGCAGATTGATGGATTTTCTAGCGACATAGTGGCCTCATCACAGCAGAAATAATTGCAATACTCATACGTTTGGAACTCGCTTTCACAAAAAATCAAATACCACTAATAGTGGAGACGGACTGTCGGGTATTAATTTTCTTATTAAATAACATATGCGATAACAAAGCTTACATTAATTTTCCACATGATTACAGATTTCTGTTCGACGCAATGGGCCAACCAATTGTTAGGCACATCTACCGCGAAGGGAAACCAAGTGGCACATACACTAGCAAAATATGGGAGTACCTGTTGAAACTCACATACTTATGTTGAACGCGAAGACTCCTTCTCGAGTTAACCACCTTTATTTGCTTTCTTAATTTTCCACAAAAACTTATTAGGGACTACATCATTAAGATCAATCATATGTTGTAATAACACTTCTTAATTTCCTGCTTAATAATAAACTTTCATTGATTAGCAAAAAAAATATTTTTAACCTTTTTTCCAGTTATCGTACCAAATAAGTTATAATTACAATCTTTGAACCATTGAGTCATATGCTTTAGCAAGGACAGATGCTGCAGTAAACATTTCCAGATAAGCTAAATCTGAATTTCTAATTGTATCAACATCCCCCAATTTTTTCCTTTATATTATATCCACCAAAAAAAAGTTATGTAGTTTGACAATCGGTTCTACCCACTCGAGTTTTGTTTTTCTAAAAAAAGATGAGTCTAATCAGAGGCGTATCCAAAATTTCAAAACCATAAGTGCATCATGAGCATCAAAAACCCGAATTTTTTAGAGGGTGTCTAAGAGACGTAATTTTGGTTTAGGAATTTTAAAAATCAAAACGGAGATTAAAAAAAGAGAACGACAAAAAATACGTGTAACCAATATAAAAGGGGGGAAAACAAAGAGTGAATTTAATTAGAAAAAGCAGCAACGCATGGGGATTTAGCCCTATTTATTAATTAAAATATAATTTCAAAGAAGAAAACGTACAGGATCGAACCCTGATTAAAAGGCACTCCTTTCCAATGTACTAAGTATTCACTTGAGCTAGGATTAACCATGTTAATTTAAGTATTGAGCTGAAATTTACTAGTGATATACATGATTTCAAGGGAGGAGGATGGGTTCACGTGAACCCGCTCACGTGAACCCGCCCCTTCCCATGTGCATCCGCCCTTGAGTCTAAGGAATACAAACTCTTTAGGAAGAATCATAGTAATTCCACAATCCTAACAAAGTAATTCCTCTGAAATTCAATGGATAACAACGATTACTTTGAATTAGCTTGCGAATTTTTGTTTAATCATTTGCAGGAGGGCCTTCAAGACGAATATAATCATACATTAGTCCACTCCAGGGGCTTGAACCTCTACTTTGCTTTAGAAATATAACATTTTTTCCAGTAGCAAAAACAGATCCAGGGACATCTATACTATACAACCAATACAAGCCATGAATTCCATGTCTTGCAATCGCGTTATCCTTGCCTATCAACCCTGTTGTGAAGTTAGGAACATGATCTGCATCTTGATCGTTTACTCGAATCTAAACAATTGAAACACAGAGTTAGTCGAAAAAATATATATAACAGGTACTTGAGGAATTTGCAACTATACAAACAAAAGGGCAGTCTGGTGCACTAAGCTCCCGCTATGCGCGGGGTTCGAGGAAAGGCTGGACCACAAGGGTCTATTGTACGCGGTCTTATCCTGCATTTTTGCAAGAGCCTATTTAATGGCTTGAACCCATAACCTCCTGGTCACATGGCAGCAACTTCACCGGCAACTATATAAAGAATGTGAAAATTTAGCAGTCCATACTTGCAATTCAGCTTCATTTGTTGAAGCCAATGCTAGCTGAAGTGTATAATTTGAGGGCTTCTCCACTTCTTGAAGATCAAACGCAATTTGCCATGTTGTTGGTATATATGTTTTATTCCCTTCATCACTGTTTGGCAACAATATTACAATCAAGATTAAAACAATAGAATAGGGAAGACAACAAAACGTGCAAACTATGGCATACAACCTGTTATAACGTGAAAATAGCACGGGTTAGCCCGTTTTCGGACTGGTAATCGAAAAAATAGTCAGCGTTTGCAAAGTCATTGAAAAATAGCCATTGTTTTACTGAAACACGGAAAGTTCCAGCATAATATGCGGAATTATGGAACTCCTGCGTATAAACTATATTGGAATTCAAGCACACGAAAGTTCCGGCATAATATGCTAGATTATGGAGCTCCTGCATATAAACTTCCGCTTATTGTGTTCGAACTCCAACATATTATGCTGGAATATTTCCGAGTTTTTAAGGGTATTTTTGTTCAGATTTTATCAAAAAGTAGCTAAATTTCGATTATTTTTTAAACTGTGACTATTATTTAATTATAATTGTAAATCTAGCTATTTTTTATTTTTTCCCTGCTATAACATATTAAATTATATCGATAGTTTAAGAATTATTTACACTGTCGTCGATGTAAATAACTTAATTTTATCCTTCTTTAGGTATATATAGGTTAGGCATTTGAAGACATAACTCTATTTCTCATTACCACTGCAATAATATTTGTGAACGATAAACAAGCTAAAGGAAAAAGGATGTTTTGGACATACTTGAAAGTATATCTATTTACATGAGCAAAGAACCAATCTGTTTGATAGTTGCTTGATCCAACAGTGTAGATTAAATCATCATTAGGGTATAGTTCTGTGTAACGATCCCATAATCCATATTGCCTAAACCTGAAAAAACGAACAGAACAAGTTCTGATTGCGTCAAGAAAAAACTTGAGAAAAAAAAAATAAGATGCATAATTTAAATGAAGTTGACTCACTTTTCTGCGTAATGTTCGATGTACAACTGGTTTTGGAGTTTTGGTTGTGGATTTGGAATGAAGAATTCTGCTGCAGTTCTATCTGGAATACCTATTTCCCATAATGTTGGTCCATTCCTTGGAGGGTTATACATTAGGGTTTGCAGCCTAGTTCTTGATCCTGTTTTTACGTAGCTATATTCAGTGGCGAAGCCAGGAATTTCATTTAGGGTGTTCAAACTTGAAATAAGTAAAAAAAAACATTCCCGATAAAGGGTGTTTAAAATATGTTATATACCATTAAAAATCTAATATTTTACCTATATATACAGTATAATTTCTATGTACCTTCGCCCCTGGCTATGTTATATATGTACTGAACGTTATTAGTACTATCACGTTAACAAAAATGAGAAAATCAAGGAAATTCTACCCTGTAACTGTAGCTTAACGTTTTATAGCAAGTTACGTTTTATAGCAAGTTACCTGCTTTATGTTTTAGTTAACTGGTTTCACTTACTATCAACAGTTGCATATAGTTATCTTTGAGATGATCGAACAGTATAAAAGTTGAGTATATAAAAATTAAAAGCATCAACTTTATCAAACGTTGACTTGACTTTACGAGCTAACATGCTATTTCATTTTTAACCCCCGCTTCAAGAAGACTAAGAGTCGTATTATCCTATTTATTTCATGTGACTCGAACTCCTAACCTATCTATTGAAAATAAAAGTACTGTCTCACAAATCGAGCTTAACTTTCATCGGTTAGTATGGTATCGGATTTCAAATGGATGGAGCAACTAAAAGTGTTTTATCCAAACCTGGGGTAATGTTGATGTAGTTCTTGTATTTGTAATCGCCAATAAATCCAGGAACCCAAGCATATAAGCTATAATTGCCTGGGATGATACTTTTAATTAAAAAATATCCCTCATTATCTGTTTGAGTCCAAAATTGATAACCCTGAAGAACAATAAACAAAAATTATGCATTGATGAGAAAAAAAAAAATAATCTAATGCAGCTAAAAAATGAAAAAAAAAAAAAAAAAAAAAAAAAAAAAAAGAAGAAGTTCCATTTTTTACCTTGTGCAAATGAAAAGTACTAAACTAGAACTCACAGGGTAAAATACTATAAACATATCCATTACATGAATTGATACAGAATCACCATGCTTCTTTGAGCCAAACAGGTCATGTNATATAAACCTTATTTTCAGTTTGCCATGACCCTACATCTCCAGGTGCAGCCAACCCAATGAAAGCAGAATTTGCAGTGATAAGTCTTTTACTTACATAGCTGCAATAAGAAACTTGTAGCTTGTTAATAATTAATAAAAAAAATATCGTTCGATTTCGTATAAACTAGCTAGTAGAGAAATAGTAAGTTAATGTACCTGTCGCTAACGAGTAATCTGCCACTTACAGTACCCCGTTGATCAGCTTGAACAAAATCTTGCGACAGAGGGAAATCGTATGGCCAATTTTCGGTTTCTATTAACATCTGTTTATATTAAAGTCTAGTCAGATTGATAATTAAGAAAAGACCTTGTACTATATTTAAATTGGATTATACATAGATCAATACCTGTTCCTTTGCATCTGTCCATAGTGTGAGAATATCTTCATCATCAGATGAAACAGAGTTTAGGTAGATTAAAACAGGACCAAAAACCTTTTTCCAGGGCTCTCCATTTCGAAATCTTAGTGCTAGAATATCTCCACCATAATGTGTGCTGAAAAACATCTGTTACATCAATTGTATGGACATATGAGTTTATATTTGCTTTCAAAATTCAGATCTCTCTATAACAATCATTCACTATAAAAGTCAAGTATTTTTGGAAATAATTTTTATGTTATGTTATAATATATATTTTCTATAACATCATTATACTCTAGCATGAGTTTTAGATTTAATAATTATTGAAATTATAATAGTATTTTACATATATATTGAAACCATTTGTAATTGAATTCACAGCACAAAAGCTACATTCATCACTGACATTGTGGATTCTAGGTGTTTTCCATGTGACATACGATAAAGTTATCTTTATGTAATCTATAGGATACTGGTTCGAGCCTTGGAATCAGCCACTAATACTTGCATCAGGATATGTTGCCTATATCACACTCACTTGGGATGCGTGAACGCGGGATGTTTTGTGCACCAGGTTATCCTTTTATAGGGTAAAAACAAATTTATGTTTTTCTTTTTTTTTTTCAAGAAATGGAGTGATTTTTATTCATAGAATTTTCTAGCATCATTTTAAAATATGGATTAAAAAAATTAAGGATATATAATCTTACAAGAAGAATAAATTACTTATTTAGCTAAAATATGATATACTCACAGATAAAGTTATTGGGCCGGTGTGAGAGGTGAGGTCTTGTTTAACAGGCCCACCTGTTCTGAACTCATTACTAGGTGTAATCATCCAAAATCCAGTTCTTGGATTTGGGCTTATCCACCCATGGACCCGATTATCCTTGTCTTCAAGAGAGTATTGATACTTATCATCCACCTAGATTAAAAACATAGAATAATTAACCTAAATAATCGTACACCCAATCTCGTAAATAAAAAATAACTAAAAATGTATATTATATATTTAATCCATATATAATATAGTCAAACATCTCTATAACAATCATCATCTAACAACACTTTACTATAACAGCCATGTTTTCTTTGCAACTATTTTTAATATTATGTTATAATATATATTTTCTATAATAATACTTTACTATAATAGTAAAAAAATATCAGAATAAACAAGACTATTGTAGAGAAATTTGACTGTATATGTATAACCATATATAATAAGTATAGAATTTATGTATACCGGCTAAAAAAAGTAAATAGTAAATATGCTGGCTATTTGTGTAAATATCTAAAAATATATTAGCAGCAACAAGACCAAATTTGAAAGGAAAAAAAAAAGATGGTAGTTAAAAAGTGTGTGATTAATTTAAATTCAGAATATATTCAGAATAATCATGAAATTTACCTCTCCTTTGAGGAAAGAATTAGTTGGGCTTGTAAGAAGTACTGCTTCTGGGTAATCAAGTTCTCGGCCCATTTCTCGATCTTTAGCTGTGGGCATTATCCTCTGC